AGCATGACAAATCTTCAGGCGGGTCACGCCACTGAATAACCTCACAACGTAGCAAATAAAATCACTATTCTTTATAGTTCATTTCGAACACAATGAGATTTAGAACAAGGTAGAACTGAAGTTGATTACCCAGGTGGGGCTTACTACTCTCTAATAAATGAAAATTTGATAGAATTTGGTTAAAAATTGAACGATATATTAAAGAAAATTTTATTTTGCTTTCCGGGCAAATCATGGCCTGCGGCGATGAAAGAAAAGAAAGAAAACTTACTGAATGTATAATTAAAGAGCGAGGTCTATAATTAATTTAACCATATCACACGAAGTAGCGGACGAAGATATTCAATCTCTGTGTGCTCTCTGGAATAAAAGGCCATGGTTTCGTGAAGATGTGTATTTAGAGAACAAAATAATGTGTGTATTCAGAACACAAACAAAATCTTGACACAAGAATTCTCTTTACATAAAATCACACTTTGATAAAATCAATCACAACTTGTTTGTATAATCAGTTTATAACGGTAAGTCGTTCTACCACAAGTTCGTAACTCAGAACTGTGTCATACTCGTAATGACTCCTGGTCTCCGTTTTTCTTATATGATATGTCTATATATAGACTGCCCGGTCAACACTTCAACCAAAACGTTTAAAACATTTTCAACATGGGTGAAGAGCTTTTGTTTCGTTTGGCTAACGAGAATGACCTACAGCCATCTATGAGATGTCAGAAGGAATTTATGGGGCTATGATTGCATCACCGTCGAGTTTTTAAACTATTTGAAAGACCCGCATAGAAGAATTCTAATCGCAGAGAAAAATGGCAAGGCTGTGGGTCTACAAGTTATGCATTTTCGACGAAGGAAACACAGTGATTGTTCAAGGACTTCGGGTACATCTCGGCTATCGTCGCCAGGGAATCGGTAAACAATTGATCCAAAAGAGTCGAGATTACGTGAAACAGAATTTTCCACGAGTAAAAGTTGAAAGATTTGCAATGTCAGCAACTGCAGTAGAACACATCGACATTGTTAAAAAGTCGAAGGACTTTTTCTTGGATAAAGTTGCAATTTATCGTTGTTTCGTGAATGGAAACTCATCTGAGCTATCTTTCAGTCTTCAGAAGCTCTGGGCAAATTTGCGCGTTGACTTTCCTCGCTTAAGTAAATTTGAATTGTCCAGCTTTCTCGAACAAGGTAAGCTTGCTAGTATCCTGTTCAAGAATAAATTTATCGTTAATTGGGAACCATTAGAAGCTCTTCCGTCTAACATTTCGAATGGGTTGTCGAAGGCGAGTGATTCCATTTTCGCCTCTCTGTCATCCAGATCCGTCCAATCGTTGAGTCATTCTCAGTGGTGTCCTCTCCTGAAATGTCCTCAGTTGGTCACCACGTGTTACACACGTGACGAAGAGTTGCTCAAAGCCCACATTGTCGCGCAGTTGAGGAATGCGATGCAGATCAACCCAGGCGAAACATTCCTTTTTGCGTGCTTCGTTGATATATCCCTGGTAAAATGCACATCTCAGCTTCTGTTTAATGATTTGTCGTTAAACAGTTCGGAGAAATTCGAATACTGTGACGTGTACTTTTATGAAAAATCATTGACATAAATGGGCAAGAATAACTCATCACAGCAAGGGGTTCCTCTCAAAACATTACATAGTACGAAGCACGAAGTTTCTCGACCGAAAAAAAATTGTAACAAGACAAAACTGCAGTTCTTTCACATTTTAGATGCCTATGTGAGCTGTGGCCTGTAGTTATTGATTTTAATTTTTTCCTATAGGTATAATTAAACATTTAGTAAAAAAACTATAGGCTAAATTAGTTATATACTGTAAACAAACACGGCACGAAGAAAAATGGATGTTCGTATAACTGAAGTAAATATCTTAACATTATTGAACAATTTTTAAAAATTCCTTTGTAAAATTGTATCAAAAATAGGTAGAAATAAAGCAATAATGTAATTAGGTAGTATATTTAATACGCATAAATAAACTGAAATGGAAAAAAAATTTTTGGCAAAAATTCCGTTATGGCACATCAGAGCCATAGATACAGCAACTACGATGCATTACATTTGCCAATTCTCACTACTTTTCACGGTTATGTTCTCAGATGCATTCAGTTTCAAGAAACGAATTGATTTTTTTTATTCACATTATTACTTTCGAGTAGCAGTCTATTGAGTACCCTACAATATCATTGCATTTGCGATTGCCATTTTCGTTTAGAATTTATCTGTTTTCTCTCGTCAATTAGTGCCCGTCTATTGAGGAAAAGCTCTGGTCCATTACTTGAAAGTAATGATCTCGTAACCTTAGTGGGAACCGTAGTCACATGCATTTAAAGTTCCCTAAAGAAGAAATAACGATGCAATTTTACGAGCCCGGTCATTCGTTTTTCTCGCTTTATCTTTCCAGGGATTGCTGGAATGCCAAAGTTGTTGACAACCCTACCAATATCAGCTACACGAACAACGCGTTATATTTCCACACCGATATATCAAATGTTTGTTCACCGCCGTCTGTAAGTATCCAGCACTGGTCGACGTAAGGGTCGTTACTGGCAAGATTGTTCGGATTTGATCCAGTATCACAGCAACAACCACAGCAACAACTACAACAACAACGGCGGAAAACAGCAACAAGGCGACAATAATAACAACAACGGCAACATATATAAGAATAACAACGAAAGCAATAGCAAATAACAACAATAGCAAATAACAGCAACAGCAACATTAGCAACCGCAAAACAACAGGAACAATAACCAATTCTCCTCTCTCACGATGACGTTTTGGGGTACTTTCAATTTTCTGAAATGCGTTTAAAAATTATGATTTAACATAAGAAGCAATATTTTTAGAATCAACAGACCATTTGAAGAATAAATTCACTCTAAGATTAAAGACAGTCGCCCTTACGAGTTCTTACGTTCAGGGTTTTGAAAAAAAGTACCCCAAAAATGGCGACGTATTCGTCATCGTGAGAAAGGCTAATAGCGACAACAATTAACAACAACCAGCCACAATAACAGCCAGCAACAACAACAACAACAACCACCATGCACCACCACCAACAACAACAACAACCAACAACAATCAACCACAACAACAACCAACCACCAACAACAACTAACAACCACCATGCACCACCACCACCAACAACAACAACAACGACAACAACAACCACCACCAACAACAACAACCAACAACAACTAACAACCACCATGCACCACCACCACCACCAACAACAACAACGACAACAACAACCACCATCACAAACAACAACAACCAACCACAACAACCACAACAACAACAACAACAACCAACAACAACCACAACTATTACTCAACGCCTTTACGATTTTCTTCTCAAGTTGTTCTGATTTCAAATTATTCTAAACTAGATTGCAGCATTACATTGTATCGATCAACCAGACCAGGAGAGGGGTGGTAAAAGTCTTTACGTTGATGGTTTTAATGTCGTTAAACAGCTGAAGCAAACCTGCCCTGAGGCATTCGATCTTTTAAAAAACGTCGAGGTGAAATTTGCTGACGAAGGAGCAAATGTCACCGGGGAATATTCCATAAGTTATTCCAATCCCATTATCAAGTAAGTTTCAATGAAACAATTTGTGTAACTCGATGGTAAGAAAGCTCGCTAGCTTTTAAATAAATTAACAATTCCAGAGCGACGGGGGAACCAACCCCTCGCCTTTCGCTTCGTCTGTTATTGGTTTTTCATGGACTTGTGTCAAAAACATGTCCTCAAAATGTCTTCTCGCGAAGTTCGACCATTCGTCTTTCTTGATCTCGTCTCTCTTCTATTTCACGAAGCATTTGTGCATTTCATCCACTTTTACTTCTTCAAGAAATTTTCCTCGCTCATAAAACAAATTCAGCAGTGATGTGCATCTAATCCCACAATCTATGGATTGAAATCCGATAAGTAGAAGAAAATGACCGATTTTTAGAGAATGTTACTTTTCTGATTTCCTAGAACAAACAAACATGGACGAATCACGGATTTCATCGTCAGCAACATGCTGATGTCAGAGATTGACAAGTACACAACCGTCGACCAACTTCTTCAATTCCACGATGCTTATCATGAACTCATGAAAATACTCTATGCACCAGAAAACACCGTCGATTACCATATGAGACCAGGCCAGATAGCCGTAATTCAAAACACAAGGGTCCTACACGGAAGAACGGCCCTTGATACAACAGCAGGGCCTCTCAAAAGATGGATTCAGGTCACATACATGGATTGGGATGCGGTTTTCTCCAAACTCCGCGTCTTACAAAGAAAACTCGGCCTTAAAAGTCCTTATTTGCATGAAGTATCAAATGACTTTTTTTAAACTAGATCAGGGGCGCATATAAAAAGTATATCTGGAGTCTCCCGCGTTCGTTGAAGGCGCCAGGATTTTTTTAAATTTAAAACCTTTGGAAGCTTTATTTTGGGTTGCAATTTATTTCGGCTATATAGCATATAGGTCTCTCACCAGGAATCGCCCGGTTCGCTAATTGTAACACTAATTTCACAAACTCTGGGGTATCACCCCCCCTCCCTCAATATGCGCCCCAGGACTAGTTCAGTTGTATGAAAAGGTAGTTATCTTTTAGGATGAGCTATAGTTAGTGTTAGTGTTGTCTGCGATATAGTTGACATATGATTGGCTAATGAAAGTATTCAGTTGTGAACATTGTAATATTATAAAAATGGATGTAATATTATAAAAATGGATTTCATTAACTACCAAATAATTTTAAAGCATCTCTTGAGAACTAAAATGTAATCGAAAGTATGAATTAAATTTCAAACTGAAATTTAGGCAATTTTGCTCCAATTTCTGCGTCCAGTGACTTTGATGTCCAGTCTCAGCATATGATTTATAGCTCAGTGTCGTCACGGCAACGTGTCCCAATGGATCCTGGACAGTGATCCTGGAGGCAGATAGTCGTTGTCATGGAAACAAAAGTAATCAATTTGTCGATGTCCACGAGAAAAACAAATCAAATGGTGATGTTACGGCACGTTTAGTTGGAGAAATCGACTTTTAGGTTTGTTTTAACTTATTATTCCCATAAATCGTCCTCAGCATGCTTCATCGTATGTGTTTTTATTTAAAAATATTATTTAATTCACGAGTTTATAAACATTTTCATATTTAAACATTGCTTCTTCACAGGGGTTCGTTGAAATTTTATGAAAAAATATAGGTTTAAATTTAATATTGGCAGACGATTTTATAGTAACTCTATTGTATTTTATAGAAATATGGTTACCGAGGAAAGAGTGCACGCAGATGTAAGTTTAAACTTGATAAAAATTATTACAGCGCTAGACACAGTACCAGTCAGACACAGCTAGCTTGTGTTTATTATTAAGATCGAACCATGTTGTGATTATATTATTAAAGTCAGAAATCAGAATACTAGGGATCGTGCAATAGAAATTGTGCACTTCTAAAGACTCATAATTCTAAACTAACCCAAAAATCCATGAGTAAATTCTAGTATGTGGCTGCAACTCTAGTGCACCACCCTTTGAGATAGCAATTCATTGTACCTGGTTTATTACTGTGCTGGTAGTAATGGGGTCAGTACCATCTAGAAATGATTTTGTGCTATGAGCTCCAGCCACTCACCCGGGCTAAAGGTGCCATTCCCCATTTAGGGCATTGTATATTTGTCTTGTGCCCCTGACTGATGAATTAATTTGCATTGACTGGTACATGCCCAAATCCTTATATCCAGTTCCAGCCACACTTATCTTCTGTACAGTGTTTAATTTTATCATCAAATCATAGTTCTCAAATTGGCAAAATTTGTTGAAACCAACAATGCAACGACTGTATAACCTGCAAAATGCATTTAGGAATCCTACTCTTCATGCCAAAAAGTTCAGTCAGAAAAGGATTGAGACCACACATCAGTGGCTGGTGTTTTGTCAATCAGCAAACCTTAGATCCAGAGCCAAACCTCCCTAGGATTCAAAAGAATATTAATAATATTCATATTTACATATTGGGAAAACAATATACCTTTCAAAAGATATCAGTTGGGCATTAAACAGATTCCTCAATTTATATACAGTATCACAACACACCACAATCATTGTGTTAAGGTTTAGCTCTGCTGTAGTGTGTACATGGTTTCTAGTATTTAGGAGGTGATCAGAGTTTATGAATTATGGATCAAGTTTCAAGATCCATTATAGTGTCATAAGATGAAGTATGCCCACCTGTGGTCAATCAAGCATGCTTACATGCATGATGGTTTAATTACTTTTACTGGTACCATAAATATCTGGGACCAAGAAGCAATAAACAGTGCATTATAGTCAAAAGAATCATATATAGTCAATACTTTGTTAATACTACCAGCACTTGGTAACCATTTGGTTTGTATTCAACAGCAAGCATCTGTGAGCATCAAGAAGGTTGAAGATAAAATACGAAATGCAGTTAATGCGAAGAAAGTTCGATGTACTGAATTTTTTAAAGATTTTGATAGATTAAGGACAGGATATATTTCAAGTAAGCTTCAATATAAAAATGTAACAATACAATACGTACATCTATTATTACATGGTAATAATACTTCTAATGTATAATTCAATTTGAGAGTGGGGGTGTTCCTACACGGCCAAAAATTGATCAGGTTGTCGCATCAGGAGTGAACAATGTTGTGCTGCACCCTGGGAACAGTATTGTTAATAATGTTGTTGAAGCTTGTTGAATCATCAATGTTGATGCAATGTTGTTGTAACAAGTTGCAACAAGATTGATGATTCAACAAGCTTCAACAACATTGTTAACAATACTGTTCACAGGGTGCAGCACAACATTGTTCACTCCTTTTTTTAACAACTCGTATCAACATGATGATTTTTACGCGTGTAACTGGAACGCATGCAAACTGTGCAACCAAGATTGCAAAAAAATACTAGTAAACATATAGAAGACATCAAAATTGTACATCCCATATCTCAGTTGCATGATACAAACTTCCCACACTGGGGGGTGTTCAACACTTGCCCTGATGTTGTCAGTTTATGTGCAATTTTTGTTGCCTTGTTAATATAAAGCTTCTCTTATTTCACCCATATAGAAGCTCAATTTGAGAGATGCCTTGATCAGTTATTTTCTGTGCAATTGAGTCCACTGGAGACCAATGTTTTGTTGTCTAAATATGGCAGTAATCCACAACAGCAAGGAATGGTTTGCTATCGGGATTTCTGTGCTGCCATTGATGCAAGTAAGTTGACTACGATACATGTAACATACAATAAGAGGTTCTGGGGCAGGTTGTTCGAAAGGCATTTAGCTTAAACGGTGGATAAGCCAAAGTTTAAAAATAGGATGGATCTTGTGAATGACTGAACTTGCATCTTATGCGTTTAATTTGTACTTCCATTGAGAATTAAACTTTTTACATCAAAATATTTCAACTCGGTTGTTCAAAAAATCGATAATCCTGTTTTCCATTTTGAACTTATCCACCGTTTAAGCTAAACGCCTTTCGAACAACTGGCCCCTGATTGTAACCCTTATTGTAGTCAATTAGGCAACAACCTGTGTATGCACGCACAAGTCTCCCAACAGTCCAATTTTCTTGCATATTTCCAGCATTTGATGCAAATATTATGGACAAAGCACCTGACACACAGAGAGTTGGTTCTGCAGCAAGGTTGGTTTATATTGCCCATATTGCAATGAGATGTGAAAGAAATGATCAAATGCTCAAATGAAAAGAATATTTTGATACATATAATGGCCACTTGCCTAATAGGCCAACTTATGATCTAGGTAGCAAGAAGAAAATAAATCACTAAAGCTAAAAAGAACATATCCTTAATTAGTATAATTTCCAAGTTTGGCTGCAAAATGTCAAGCAGTACCAAAAATATAGCCAAGCAAAGTAGGTAATTTTTGTATACTTTTGTATTATGGGCAAAAGTGTTTAACTAAATTTAGTTACACTCTTACAGCAACAATACAAAAGTATACAAAATTTGCCAACTTTACTTGGCTATATCTTTAGTACTTTACAATAATTTGCAGCCAAACTTGGCAATTTTACTAAGTTTAGTATGCATTTTTTGGATTTTTTCTTTTTGTTGCCTAAACTAAAAGTTGGTCCGTCATTATGCAAGTGGTCAATGACGTTATCTGTGTGACCAGTTCTGATACTCTTTTTACAAGATCTGGCTGAATGCACATAGACAGCCCCATATGATTTAAATGAGACCAGAAGGAGGTAGTCTAACTAGATTTAATGTGTTTTTTAAAAAATCCAGTGATCCAATGAACAGAAGACCTCTCAGTCCAGCCTCACTATCAAAATATGACCACATCCTATCAAGATGTGCAGCTTTTTATAAATATCATGGCATCATTGTCAAATCATCCTATGCTGATTTTGACAAGCACAACAATGGTCTGGTCACTGAGAGCCAGGTATGTTTTCTTGCCCTCTTTCATTTTTTAAACTGCAGAGAGGCTGCATGTTGTTTAAAAAAATAGTTTGCTTAATCTTGGGTGCTAATCTTAATTTACCTCAATATTTGCAATTGCTTGTTCATAAAGTTTATACCAAGTACATTTTGCCATAAATATTTTCTGTAAAGATAAAAGTACAGAAAAAATTACAAATAAATACTGGTGTAGCTATAAGCACATGAGAAAGTTAGCTTTTTGCTGTTTTCCATTTAGAATAATTTAAACCATGCAGACATTAACCCAGCTTTGAAAAACTAATACTGTGGCTTAAAACTTATTTTTAACAAGAATTTTTGGATGTTTTAGTTTTACCGAAGTTTTCCTGGCCCACCAGATGTTGTTGAGGCAGAGATGAGGCTTGTTGCTAGAAAGCACAGACATCCTGACAAAGCAGGATTGTGTAATTATTTACAGTTTCATGAGGACGTTGTACAAAGACAACAAGGTAGGTTTTGGCACACAAGTATGGCTGTATGCCTGGGGATATTACAGGCCCAGAGAAAAAATCTTGTTGGGTGCCTCATAATCCTCAACCAAAAAAAATTAAACTTAAAACAAAAATAGCATAGTAATTTTGTTCATGTAATTTAGTTCTACTTTAATGTGATAACACATTTTCCAAAATTTGACTTTTGCAATGTATTTCTTTGTAAGAGGGTGTAATTTTAAGTGTGTTTGCATTAGGATCAATACGATAGTGTATTCCATTGGTAGAACTATAAAAATAAAAAAAAACTTAATGGTTGATTAAACAATAGCTAATTCTATGATTGTACAATGATTATACAATTTTGAGGGCCCCTGGAGAGCTGAACCAGGTGCAAACAGGAAGTTGCACACCCATCTCTAGGCAGACCTGCACATAAGGTGTTGTTATATTCGTAAGCACAGATGGCAATATGGATAAAATATAAATATCAAAGACTATAAAGTCGATAGCGAATAGCGATGCAATAAGAATCGCCAAAAATATGACCAGTAAATGTGTATAAAACACGTTCAAACTTATTTATATCTGTTACCTTTCCTAGACGTACTTATATTTTCCTTTTATATGCATTATTAAAATGCCTATTTATATGAATGAACTGTTTATAAAATTATAAATGCACTTTTGCAACGAAACGCTTTTAACACCCCAAATAAAATACAGCAGTCAGCAAGCAACAAATATTTTATGCATTAAAACGTAATCCCTTACTGTCTCTTTCCTCGTGATTTTGTGCCATGGAGATTCAAAGATATTTTTTCTAAAGATTCATCGTGTATTAAATCTGCAAATGCAGTAAAATAGCTCGGAATAATTAATCTTTTGAATCCTGAAATAACGGACGCCATTTTGAAACACGTGTAAACAAGTTACCGCCAAAATGCCAAAAGACGATTTTTTACTGGTTATTCGTTCGTCCAATCAAAATCCATGAACCAAGACGCTTGTCCAATTAGATTGCCTAAAGCGCTTTTTTACGAAGTATTTTATTCTAGCTTTAAAATCTTTATCCATATCCTAAAAAAAATTATAAACCTGATTCCTTGATCATTTCTTAACACTAAATCTAGCTGCATCTTTATATAGACATCGCAGGAGATGAAAAAGTTTATCTTGGGCCTGGCGACCAAAAGACTCTTGACACTGTTGCCTTGGCACATCATTTCCAAGTAGGGACATGTTCACCAAAAACATACCCCTCGCATTTTCGTCTAATTTTGGATAGCGGTCAAAGCGATTAGCGTGCTGACAGGCTTTCAAATCCGGCGATAATAAAAATATAGGATAACTTTGATCCTGTAACAGATATTTCACATAATGAGCTATTAGTTTGGTATTCTACAGGGTGTCCCAAAAAAACCGAAAACTATTGAAATCACTCATTGTTAAAATTTGAATGCCGTGTTCACGAATTTCAGCCCGTGGGGATTTAATGCAACTTATAAAATGCTAAATGCTTTGTGTTGCTAGAGAAAGGGGACATGTCGAAGGTCATGGTCCTTGAGATGCACATCTAAATAATGTTATCCATATTTGTAAATTGTAAATATTGTTGATTAATAAATATCATTTTTGCGAATAAGCAAATTTTACTGCATCATGTATGCATGCGTAAAAATGAGTATGGTAAACATTTATACACCTGTGGGTCCCAACAGAGTGCTTAGGCATTCAAACTCTAACAATTGCATTGTTATGGGTGATTTCAATAGTTTTCGGGTTTTTTTGGGACACCCTGTATAATTGTACCTTTTTGTTACAGGAGGCAAGCAGAGGTTCAGATCTTGGTGCTATATTTGAGAAGATTCGTATTGCCGTGTATAAAAATGGAGTAAGAACGACCGAATTTTTCAGAGATCACGATAAACTCAGGAGTGGTGTCATCACTGAAAACCAGGTATGCATGCATGAACTAGACTACGTAGCTAATAATAAGGATATTTAGCACGAGGATGTCGACGTCAAAGACGACGAATGGCGAATAAATGACGTGATACGTCTATATATGGGCATGCCACGCCATTTATTCTTCATTTCCACGTCGTCTTTGACGTTCCAGTCCTCGTGCTAAATCTCTCTATTACTAAAGGCCCAATTCTTCTTTTAAAAGATGTAAATTTGGCAACTACCGAACTTTTATGTTTATTGCACTTCATGGACGTTTCTTACACTTACATTTTGAAGACTCTTCACTTATTTACATTTCTTTAAAGTAAAGTATTGCATTGCAAGTTGCAAAAAAAACTGCACCGTCTAACAGGGCCCTAAGTGGTCTAGTTCATGTGATCTAGTTCAATATCTACCTTTCCGTTTAATTAACATTCTTCACATTTTTATGTAAAATGATGTATTTTTTTATATATATTTCTCATACTATATAATGTTCATACCTATTAATATGTTCCTATTTTTATTCACCGACAGTTCGTGTGTGGTTTATCTTTGTGTTGCGGCACCATCGCGAACTTGTCACGTGATGAAATACAGCAAGTGGTAGATTTCTATCGTACCGAGGACGGCCGTGTGCAGTATAAAGAATTTTGTCATTTGATGGAAAATGGTGAGTTGTGGCGAAAATAATGAAGAAATAGTAAAGCAATATGGAAATAATGCAATTTTAGTAGGTACATGCATCCAGGGGTGGCTATCCCTTGTTAACATGCATGCATTAGGAGGTTTTGTTCCCCCCCCGTCTCTCATTTCCTGCATTTTGCATGCGGATCTCCAAACCGGTGACATTCCCGGGACAATCGTAACAAATATACCTTCTTTTTGTGCACATGCAGCATTTACAGAACCTGAACTTGAGAAGAAACCGACAACTCAAATGCTTCGACCTCCCGTTGGAGCCCTTATGAAGGTAAAATGATGCCACTGTATACGACTTTCAATGCTTTTTGTATTTTATATTGCAACTTCGGTCGTTCTGAAAATGGACAGAATTGAAATACACACATTCTTGTCCTGGAATAGGTACATGTCGTGCGGTCTTCGGAATTCTTTTAAAATATTTTTTGGTGTTTGCATATACCCGTGTTCTTTTAACGGCTCGATTACTATATACTATTATTATCCTATACTACATATTTTATTATATTTTGTCTCTCAAACGTTTTCACTATAGTTTGATGACCGTTTCATCAATCTCATCTGAAAATTACATATGTCCATTCAACCTCTCCTGATTACCTTAACATAGGTCCCAAACGCATTGAGCGCTCACGAGGAACGACAAGTCCAAGAGATTCTTGATCGTCTAGCCAGCGACGTAAGAAGAAGAGTCTTATGGTCTATCCTTTCTTCAAAGACTTTGACAGAGTAAGTAATAATCAAGCTTTGTCATGCTCGTTTACACTTGCAATTTAATTTCTCCTTTCAATAGATGTGAACGAGTAATTAGTTACGAATGTTCTGAATATAAGAGCTCTTATTTGAACATTAGTAACTTATTCACTCGTTCACATCTATCAAAAGAGGCAAATCGCAGCAAAAATCGCAAGTATAAATGGGCCTTAGAGTTTCTCAATTCTACTACTCCGTGGGATAGTTCTTCTCAACGTACAACCATGTATTTTTGGGTCTTTTTTATTTGATATAGAGTAAAGCGTATACTCGCGGCATTACGAAGCCTCAATTTGAAAAGCTTCATGTTTTAAGCTTAAACCTACAGGCAAATGAACTCGTTGTAAGTGAACCAATTAAGTTTTTTCAACTGATTATAATATGTCCAATAATTATGCTACTTTAAACAAGTATTCAAGCTCGGTGAATGCATGCAGTGTTGTGGGGATAAAAACCCTCCTATCTGTCATCATTCGTCACTCTTTCAGAAGATCAAACATATTCACTTTCCCCCTTCAAAATTTTAGCTGATTTGCAAGAAATTTGAATATCCTGTTGGTGGTGATGTCAATTATCCAGCCTTTATCCAGGCTATTGATCCAGGTAGGCATATTTAATAGCATATCTAAGTACGTTACAACTTTCAAAGGGTTGCATCAGTTCAACATTAATTTTGTGTGCCTGTAAAATTTTCCCCCCTTATTTTAGAATACGTCGCTTCCTCCAAGCACTTAGTGTCCGACGATGATTTTAACAGGTAAGCTAGACATACATTTAAAAAACGACCATGTGATACGTTGTATGTAGTTGTGATTGGTTGAAATCTACGCTTTGTACATATGTGATTGGTTAAAAACAATTATTTTTATGAGCAATCTTCGGGTATTATTTTGGCATTTTTGCATATTAGATCTGAGGAAGCTCCACCGCCTCCACCATTGGATTTGACTACAGTCGATTTCGGCGAGCTCATTGGTCGTATTCGGCATCACGTATTGACCAATAGAATAAGGGTACGTTTACACTGATTTCATGCAATTTTGTGTACAGAAATTTTCTCTTTTACAGAATTTTTTCTCTCATGTTTAACTAAATCCCTATCTAACGTTTATTCAACTGAAGTGCCATCAATATCAATTTGGTTGACGTACTGTATACTGTATACCAATTCGTTCTGATAAATCCAACATTTCATCTTTCAATGATTCCATCTTAGGTTTAAAAAAATCTGAGAGTTTAACTTTAGATCCAGTATTGGATCCAAAGTAGTTCGCTCTTTGCATTAATGGATTCAATCTTACAACAAGATTAAACTCCCTTTTGCTCTTCTCAGGTGGAGGAGTATTTTCAAGACTTTGATCCGCTCCGCAGCGGTTCTATTAGCAAAAGTCATTTCCGTCGTGGCCTTAGCTCACTTGGTCAACATCAACTGACCGACGCCCAGTTTGAGGTCATGGCGTTGCATTATTCTGATCCGAAGAGAGCTGGAAATGTTATATGGACTCAATTTTTGAAGGATATTGAAGAAGGTGAGAAAAGTTCTGGGGCGATTACTCTTTGGGGGTTTTGTGAGCCGTCTTTTTTGCAGGGCCTATGCAAAAGATTATATAGTTAATCCCATTTAATAATCCCCGAGCCGGCGCGAAGCGCCGTGCGAGGGTACTAATTCCGCTGGGAGATTTATTACACCCGGGTATTGTGACAGAACATAGCGGAATCCAAAGTTGCTCAAATTCTATGTCGTGGACCGTGGACGTTCAATGGTCATGGTACTTGTGCGCATGCGTGAAATGCGAACGAGTGTAGACTGGTAATCAACGAACGTTCTGATTGGCTAAGACAGAAAGTTTGTATTTCAATGGGAACGTCAGCAATTTAACTGTCATTTCGTAAATATTTTTGTAAAAGCGTTTCATAAACTTTGTGCAAAGAAAGTAAAACGAGAAGAAACAAGATATATGAAGCATGACAGTTAGCAAAGATAAACGTAGATACAGTCAAAACAAAGCAGTGTAAGAGGAATAATTCATAATCTGCAAGCTTATAAATGTTTTCAAAGACAAAGGGTACGTGTTTACTTTGTTTATCTCGTACTTGTTTCGCGGTAAGAATGAGCCGTATTTGTGTACTTTTCAGCTTTGTATGCCGTTCATTTGTTAAATTTTCAGCTTTTTCTGCAAACGCATAAACCTGTGAAGGGCTATTACACCTTTGCTTTAACTTCAAAAAGTGTTTTTGAAAGTGTAATTTGAATTTTGGTATAAAAAATACACACTATATTTATAAAGTATACTGAAACTTTTAGCCGCCGGCGTTGACTGCAATTACAGAATAAAATGACATTTGAAGTTTTTTCTTTGTCTGTGAAGATTTTGTACTGTTTTAATCGTTTGAAACTTCGATTTTAAACCGTTACTTAATTGCTGGCATGGTATAATGCAGCAAAATTGAACGGGCAATGTTTACACTAGCTTTGTGATTATTTTTGTATTGAACGATGGAAACTTTAAGACTGATTTGAATTTTGTGTCATTTCATAATATAAGTTTAGGTCAGGCTAACTCAGGAAATTGTGTACTTGGTTTGAAATAGCGAGGGGTTGCTGCATGCATGTATTTCTAGTATAATATCATTCATATCATTATAACAAATACTTTTGGCTCGATCAATCTTCAACCTGGTTTTGAGGGCACTTTATCTTTTTTAACCGGATTTCATTTTTTGACTGTTTGCGACACGTTTCGTGGTTTGCAATATCTATGTAAAAGTAGTTTTTCGGGTCGCGATATGATTTAGTATTTCTGTATTAAAATATATTTACAGTGTTTACCAGACGAGGCTTGGAGAAGATCCCAACATTTGCAGTTCCTGCTAGTGAGACGTTTTTGATGGAGAAACCAGGGGCAAAGAAGGATCTTGGGGCGACGGAATTGCTAGATCAATGTATGCATCGACTGCGAGAGAGAACAAAACAACGACGACTTCTTGCCAAACCATGTTTTCAGGACTTTGACAAGTGAGGATCTTTAGGCTTTATTTATTTCTAAACTGCATGATCACGCTAATTCTTCGATCCAAAATGAATATATGTGGATAAAAACAGAACACCAATCATCGCGTCTTTTTTACCCTGTCTAAGAACCATTATACATACTACTTTACCTGACAAGATTGAAAACCGCTCGTCTTAAAATTTTTCCCATTCCTTCGTGGAATCCACACAATCGTAGAACGCTTTCCTTTAAGCGGCCAAAATTGTCCGACTGGTCATATTTTGGATTGAAATAGAGTATTTCGTTAAGAATATAGCAGTGAAGCTGCATTTCCTGTACCAGGTGTTTGTAAATAACGTTATGCTTGAATGCAGATTTCTGGAATCGCTCTAAAACATAATACAAATGGACTGGTCCGCCTGACTGATCGGACCCTTCTTACCGCATAAAAGGAAGCCCTTCTAGTGGACAATTCACAATTGCATTATAGAAAAACTGCTTCGCATCTCATTTTTTGTTCCAAGTTTCAAAGAAACTCTAGAAACCAAATATGATTTTTCTTTCTTGTAGACATAATAATGGGCATGTGACAAAATCACAGTTTCGTCAATGTCTTCAGCATTTGGAGTTGAACGCCACAGTTCAGGAGATGGAGGTACGCGTAGTTTGTATTTATATAAAGTATAGGAGAGCTTTCTTCTTTTGATAGATGTGATCGAGTGAATAAGTTGCGAGTGTTTAAGTAAGAGTAGTTATACACGAATCATTCATAATTATACACTAGTTTGCATCTATCAAGAGGCGAAAAGTGCAGCGGCCTCTGATTCAAAACTTGTATACGATGTGGATTTTTATTCTCGACTTTCTCGTTCCGAATGCATGCATGAGAGCGCGTGCCCGAATATTGAAAATTGGAGGAAGATTTGTAATCTTTTTCACTCCACAATGGCGCCTGAATTTTTTTGCTTTTCTCGTAGGCAATGGAGAAAAAGTTTTCTGACAATATTGGTGTTAACTATATCAGATTTTTAGAAGAACTGCAGGTAAACACGACCAACTCTACAGTATTTATATTGTTGTCAGCCCTGTTCTTCAACCTGGCGAGTATTCATGAGCTTAGTGAAGTAGTAGCTGCACCAAAGAATCAAGTGGTTTTCAGCAAATATGCGTAAGCTGAATGCACGTATGATGTATTTTGCAGCCAACGGAGAAAGAAGCAAACAGATATACTCAAAGATTAGAAGAACTCAAGCTCGTCAATAGCAAAATCGTAGGTGAACTTTCTAATTTGACTCTCTCTTCTAATAAATTTACCCTCGCCGTTAATATATAGTAATGTATAGTGTTTCCCACACAGGCGTAAGAAAATGTATTCAGTTCATTTCTACTGAACTAATAAATGGAGATGTTTATATATAAAAATACAATACTTTAATTTTTACCAGATGCCAGATCACGGTTCAGAAGACATCGACCGAATTCTACAGAAGATAAAAAACAAGGTAAGCTGGGAAGAATTTAGGAGCATTTTTGTTTCATAATAAAGTCAGTAGCGTAGACTGCTGGACGATTTGTCTAGCTATGCTAATATTTTGGTGTTCATTGACTGTGATAACAATAAATTTCTAAAGAAATGAATATAATTATAATCACTTCGTAATTTACATAGCGGGACAAAATCGTCAGGCTTGCTACGCCACTGCGTAAAGTTATTCATCTAAACAACAGCTTTGAAATCGATTCAAGTTGCTTAGCCTTCTCGCTGTTTTTTCCTTTTCGTAAAAATACAACAAGTCACATGATATTCTTAGGAGCATTAATTTAATTTAATTTAGGAGCATTTTTGTTTCATAATAAAGTCGACGATTTGTCCCGCTATACTATATATTTTGGTGTTCATTGACTGTGATAACAATAAATTTTTAAAGAAATGAATAAATTATAATAACTCAAAATTCACATAGCGGGACAAAATCGTCAGGCTGGCTACGCCACTGAATAAAGCTATTCTTCTAAACAACAGCTATGAAATCGATTCAAGTTGCTTAGCCTTCTCGCTGTTTTTTTCTTTTCGTAAAAATACGACAAGTCACATGATATTCTTGCGTGTGCAGGTTGTGAAAGAACGTATCCGCGTGTTGGAATTCATGCGTGACTACGACAAGTTACGAAGTGGTCGCATGCTGAAAACATGTTTTCCTCGAGCTTTGGATCTCTGTCAGCTGGGGCTGACTAAAAAGGAAGTTGAGATTCTTACTAATGTGTAAGTAAAAGAAATGCTATTACAGGCTTCTTTTTTTAGATATTTAAATATATTTGATGCCTAAAAAGTATATATAGTATAAACCTTCTTGTATATTCCCAAATCTTGAATTTCGATTTTTTCTTTCTTGCAGTTACACATCTTCTCAAAACCCAGATTACGTGGATTACGTGGAGTTTTCGGATTACGTGGAGTCTATATTTACGTTGAAACGTAAGTTTTTTAAGTGATCCATAATCATTCGTTCTAGAAATGTTTGTTTTTTCCAAGGGGTTATCTATTTGCTATTATATTGTTATAATATTATAATAATGATATAATTATTATTTTAATATTATAATATTAGTATTATTATGTTATATTGTTTATTTATTTATTTATTTAAAACGGAGCAGATTTCCTGCAGATTAGCATGTTAAACTTAAGAATGCATTTCATGTTCATGTTTTGTACGAGCAGCATCGCATGATTATTTATTTAGAATTATAGCATGGTAAAATCGTCGCGCCAGACTTTTATACGCAATATTTTGAATTTTATTTCCTCTTGCTTCAGTTTGTATCAAAAAAGCTTTCCGCTATTTTGTTTATTTTGGCAAAATCATTAATTATGCTGCTGAACAATTAATGATATAACTGTCTCATCTCGACTAATCAGTATCCAGTAGCTTAATCATGCTAATAATAAGGTTTGTTTCAATGCTATTCGGCTTCGAACGAGGGTACTAATCTCCCTGGGGTAATTTCACCTTCACCTAATTTGTAAATGTGATTTATGTCAGTCTCAAAGAATCCGGATGCTCCAATCCGCGCTTTTCTTGTTTAGTGCCGAAAAGTATCATCTGCGTTTGTGCAGAGCTTACTGTGCCCTCTCAATAGCTAAAATTTCTTGAAATGGAAAATTTCCACTCTTCATGCACTTAATCACCAGTGAGGAGAGATATGCCATTAAGAACTCTAAAGGATTCTGTTATCTTCAACCCACACAGCACTGATAACATATTGCTGCTGTCGCTGATATAATGTAAGTTCAAAGGGCATGAAAATCTCGATGCTTATTTCAAAGGTGAAGACTTTGACAGTGCATGCCGTCATGCTGTGTTTACCTTTGTACGGTTGCCTTGGTGTTGGCCACAACATCTTAAACTACGTTAACAAACACTTTATTCGACGAAAGCAAGCTCGTAATATTGCTAGTTATTTTTCAAGTCTAGCCATGAAGTTCATGCACTTGCTTCTCAAAAATTTTTTTAGGAAAAGTAGATATCACTCTTCTTTATGACAGATCTTCATCACAGCTATGGCAGAAAATTATTTTTCAACTCTAGCCATGAAATGAAGTTCATGCACTTGCTTCTCAAAAAATTTTTTTACGAAAAGTAGATATTATTCTTCTTTATGACAGATCTTCTCCACAGCTATGACTGAAAATTCTAAAATTTGAAGTTCCAAAAATTTACCGAATGTATAACAACCGTACCTCTGATAACCAGCAAACAAACCCCCAGGCTATAATGAGGGCCTACATGGAAGTTGTTTAAAGTTGTTTATATTATGTTGTTCAACATAATCTCATGCTTGCCCCCTGACTTCCTTTGCTATGACCTTGTAAAGTAAACTCATCGATATCTCTAATAAGACGACGGAAATATTCAGTGAGATTTAGTATATAAAGAGTGAGAGAGAAACGGAAATGCGTTATCGCGGTTACATGATGTATCCCCATGAAGGACTTTATCTGCAAGTATGGTGGTATCTCCGTCTTGCAGTGGTAAACCCTTCTCGAATATTATCAATCCTGTGAATTTTGTGTGGTACAAAACATCGGGTTTAGTGGAACTCACTACGGAAGTTTCACAACTCAATTCTGTGGAACCCACTACGAAGTAACACTCGCTTCGTCTTAAAATGCAGACGTACAAGCAAAAGACAGAAAAACTTGAGATTTGCAGTTGTAGCGTATATATAGAAAGAGAGAATTAGACTTATCATGCCCAGGCTAACCACTGCGTGGTTATTTTTTGGTCAAAGTTTGGGAAGATTTATCACAATTTCCATAGGTCTTTGAAATTATCCTCTTCAATGATAGCCTATATATACATCCAAGGCGGAAACACTGCTACGTAGGGTATCTCAATAACCGATTGTGGTGATAAATGTAGACAGAAGGGAGCTTCAGCAGTGACTACGAGTGCACGATTCGTCATTTTCGCGCCAAACTCGGTACTTTTTCTACGCCATCTGTCGAAACTCGTAGACTCGTTGGGTTCGCTTTTGAATACGAGATTGATAAACAAACTCGTACTCAAACGTTCGACGCGACTACGAGTATTGGCTGATGGCGTAAGCAAACAATGCACGAGAATGACGAATCTTGTAAAGATGACATTAGAATGGCGAAAATATAATGAGGTGTTGCGCCCAAATAGGGATGTGCCAAGCCATTTTTTCTCTGTTCTGGGGTCGTCTTTGACGTGTCAGTCCTCGATCTAAATCTGTCCACTGACCTACATATACCCGATGTAAACAGAGAAAAACTGTTATCGCTGTTTGCAGTGTCTCTGTTGTTTTGTATTTCGTGAAAAATACTCGGTGGTTCTCGAAATGTATCTTAGCAACAGACCTGTTACAAATAGACAAAGTGTTGTATTTCCACTCGGTTGCTGATGTGTTATTTAGTCGCACTTTATATCCAATTGTACATCGCGTGCATCGGTCACGCGATGTTTTCACGTGCGCAATTTATTCACACGAGTTAAATAAACGCGCAAGTTGGACCTCGGCGGCGCCACGGAAGAACCTTCCCGTACATTGAGCTACTTTTTACCAAACATGGTTAAATGTTGGCTCGTGTAGTGCTATAGCCCTCTTTAGGAAATTCCAACTGAGCGCTTAAAAGCAGGGATATTGTCATTAGTTCATTATCTTTCTGTGTCATCATTAACATGTTTTTCACCGTCGAGTGCGAAGTGGTCCCCACGGGAGACCAAGTACCAGATTACATGATCAATTGTAAGTGATTTTGCAGCCCAAATTATAAGTTGAAACGATACAACTCCTGATAATGATGATTTTGCAGTAAAATTAAAATAATCTGGACTTATTCTTGTCTGAACGTATATTCTATGTTTCTAAAATTGTCGCTGGTATTTGTTTTAAATAGATATTTTGATATGTTATTCAATTCATAAGATTTGGTTAAAAAAACACCACGCAATACACTACACACTGATCACTTACATTTAAATTACTTTATATAATTGAATGTTTACTCTGTTATATGTTATTAAGATTATACAGATTAAACTATAACTAGGCTTCAGGTCTATAATAAACGTCCCCAACATTTTCACGTGCATGTGGACATGTGCAGACATTGCAAAACAAGTTAAAATGTAAGAGCGAAAAATTGCAAGTAAAATCATTATTGTTTTTTATCTGATTTTATTGTTTGTTGCCGTGGAAATCGCCTATAACTGCGGTCTCATTATAGATACAGACCAAACGCGTTACTTCTTCTATCAAAAGCTTTTAATCTATATATTTAATGCGTCGGTTGTCGTGGAAATCGCCGTCAGAATATTCGGTTAACCATTCAGTCTTTTTATCGGATTTTAATGTCTGCTGTCGTGGAAACCGCTAATATACATATACACGTGGTTTCTTTGGAAATAGGTATAAAATGCAAGTACCAACATCTTTTTCTTATCTGATCTCGATATTGGTGGCCACGATCGCAATCACAAAAGTCTATATACGTACAAAATGCGTAAAACACTGTTTTCCCATCTGATTTCAATGCTGGTTGCCTAACCAGCCATAACATGCATTAGGTCACGTTTAGAAATAGGAAGAATATATGAGACTATGTATCGTCTTTATATATACCACTTTATCGGCCATCCATTGTTTTCTTATCTGACTTACCTATTTTTGGCTTCCTTGGAAATCGCCATTGCATTCATAGGCTGTGCAACCAAACAATTTGTTGTCTAATCAAAGTGAAAGCATAATTTTTACACGCGTGCTAGCGCTGTTAGCTTGTGATAACCATGCATGCGGTCAAAACCGGACAAACTGTTTAGGTTATGCTATAAGAATAAGATATGTTGTGAAACTTTTACAGTAATTTATATGGCGTGGAATACTATATGTGGTAGGAACCGATATACGAACTAACAGTTTATATTCGGAATCTGACTTAAAATAACAAGCATTCCGCATTTGCAAACTTTGCGCCAAAAATTTATCAGTTATAACGTACTGTATATAGTGTTTAGTCCATTGTTGATTTGTCAACTCTCCTATTAAATAGAAGACTACCCTGTCTTGAAAGAAAGTTTCAAAGAGATAACATAATAACTCTTGGATATGACCTATTTTAGACCTCGAGAAGAATCCTTTGGTTGAACCGGTACAATATCGTCCCGAGCAGGGATCTGATCTGAATAGGCTCGTTCAAGATGCTAATGAGATGTTCGAAAAGGTCATGCACCGTCTCGCGGACCGCGTGCGCCAACGTCGCGTTCAAATGTTCCCGTTGTTTGAGGACTATGACCGCATACACAATGGCACCGTCTCGCGTAGTCAGTTTCGTCGCGTGCTGAGCGAGCTGGATCTTGGGAGCATGGTGAGCAGTCGCGAATTCACCGTGTTGTATCAGAAGTTCGATGTCCTCATAGGTGGAAAACACGATTTCAACTACATCGCGTTCTGCGACCTCGTCAACGAGTATGCGCTGTTTGAACACGGAAAACCGTAAGACTTTGAGTTGATAGCTGAACGAAGAACTCTCTAGTGTTGTAAGGAAAATTTGTTTTGAATTTCAAGTATTGGTACTCTAATAAAGACTTCTATATGAAATCGGTGTTATATTTTTAGTATCATGATTTCTTAAGATAAGAAACCGCTTATGTGATGCGAATGTTTGTGGCGAAAGTACAAAATCTATAACCTAGCTATATGAGAGAAAGATTGATAACTTGTTGATAAATACGAGTGCTTTGAAGTGGTGTCCCTTTGAAAGACTTACTTACAGATTTCGCTATTTTTTTTCATGCGGCAATAAAGTATATTTCACATAACTGTGCCATCAATATTAATTTTTTAGGTAATTTTTCAATAATTCACCAAAAATTGATGTTCTTTGGTTCTTAAATGCTTGTACGTGACCTAAAGTTGTTCTTGTGATTCTCGTGTTCTCGTATCGCATCCTGGAATCGCCAGTCGTTCGCTGAGAAAACACGGCTGGATAAGAAATTTTATGGTCGCGCGTAGTGTTTTCATAGATAACTGCATGGTGTCCGAGTTGCGCTCCGCGCTCGAAGCATTTGTTAATTACGATATGAATGACATCCGAAGAAGTGTGAAACAGTGAAAACCAACCACTGCAATCTACGATTAATGAGAGAATATGTTTGACTTAATGAGAAGAATTGTAGATAAGTTGGGATATAACCAGGGAGCAGCGTGGCGGCGTCTTCAAACAACTTAGCATCAAATGTGGTATAGCAACTGCCTGAGTAAACGAAACACTTCTCGATGTTTCGACCTGAGGGCTTTATACTGACTCTCCTAATCATATTTACTCTCCTGACGAAGGTCCTCAGGTCGAAACGTCGAGAAGTTTTGTCTATTTTAGGCAGCTGTTATTATTATACCACATTTGATGCTAAGTTTAATGAGAGGAATTAATTAGGAATATATCAGGTATGTTAGACGTTGAAATTAATACGCGTCTAAATATTCAATTGAATCGACGTATTAGTTTTTGTGACGCGAAATTTTTTATCAAAAAATTAACAATTTATTGCTTCATTTTTTTGGCATACGCGAGTTTAACGTTGAAACCATTCAGAATCTGTCTGAAGGTATGCGAATATCCTGAAAAAGTTGCGAACTTGTTTTATATTCGTCGCTTCACGGCATCGCGGAAATTGATTTGCATTTATATTATTGACGCAATTCTTTATACTGATTTCCAACTGCTCAACAAAATATGACTTTCAAAGATTTGAAGCTTAATTGCGCAAGGTAAAAGCAAATCAGCTCATGTAATAAAACCTTGTGTATATCAGTCTCAAAATGGCCATTTCACACCTCAGTGCCAAATGATGTTTTAATATCTTTCGAAAGAGCACGCATTCAGAGGGAATTTGAAATTTCAAAACAGTAATGCGCAAAGTGAACCAGTGAGATTTTCAAGTTAAAATTTATTTTCAAGCATGTCACCCACAGTTTTCTGTCAATCTTCGACTACTTAGTCTGTTGTCAATCCCACGTGCCAAACTCACGTGCCAATCTCATGTGTCAATTCCGCATGATTCACTAAATTCATAATCATGCAATATAATCGCTGATTCGGAATAATTTAATCGCACCTGCCGAACTGTGAACGAGTCTTTGATATGTGCAATGTGGGTGGGAAATCATTATATGGAAAATCGTTGATTTGAGAGATTCTCTTCGTTTTTCCGGATCTGATTGTTTCTTATTTATTTTCACTGTTAAGAAGATAAAAATTGTCAAAAACGTGCTGGAAAAACAATGTGTTTTGGGAGAACACGTGGGATTGTGAGATTCGGTGAGGTGAGTGTAGTGAATATGAATTATGAAGTATTTTTCCATGCATTTTGTAAGGTTTACAAATAAGATTGCTGCAGTAATCATTCAGATGCTTAATTTTGAAAACACAATACTGACTGATATTGTGGATGCTGATACTACCACAAAATTGTATTAATTTACACAATTTGTCTATCTTTCATTGGCGCGGGCAAGTCGATGTAGCACTGGGAGTCGCAATCAGAGCAGTAGCACATTTGTAACATCACTTGTACATTCTCATGTTGATTTAAAGCTATGCACAGACGGACGAGGAGAAATTGGGGGGCAAATCCAAGTCCTGGTTATTGAATCATTCACGATGTCCGAGGCCAAAATATTTCGTTTTTAACGAGTTTTTTTCTAGATGTTTTTTTCCTAAGATATCATTTCAGGTAGTAAAACCAGTTCCAAAAAACACTGTTTTTCCTCAAAAGACCAGCAAAGCGTCCTAAAAAACGAAGATAATTTTTAATACAAATTTTAGTTGTTGCTAAAGTGCATGTTCGCTAAGGATGCATTGATCTAGCCAATAAGCGGCTCCCTTTTTCGACTGATGTTTTCCGGATACCAATGGCTCCTCTAGTGTTATTTATAATCTCTATGGGCAGGCAGGCAGGCAGACAGACAGACAGACAGACAGACAGACAGACAGACAGACAGACAGACAGACAGACAGACAGACAGACAGACAGACAGACAGACAGACAGACAGACAGACAGACAGACAGACAGACAGACAGACAGACAGACAGACAGACAAATGTCTTTGAAAATCTAAAAAAGCGCGACCTTTTTGATCACTCTGAAACTTGCACGCATCTTCACTGGCCCCGATCTGTGCCAGCGATGAAATAGTTGTGTATAAACTGTCGCACATCGAAGCTCTGATAAGGCTTGCAAGTATTTTCAAGTTCGCAGTACAAATAATTTTTATAGTACCTAGTATGCAATTTCATAATTTCTAACGTATTTTAACTAAATTGAAAACTCGCTTCATACTTCAGCTACTTAATAAAGTCTGGCCGCCGGATGATACTTTTTTCTATTCAATAGGCCTGATTTCCATCGTTCGATCGCCGGGCTTTTTCGAGAAGTTTGAATCTTCTAAAGCTGTAGTTGTTGCAGATAACACGCGAACGAACCTTGGCATTAGTTCATGGGCGATGTAATTTAAAGATAAACATGGCGAAGCAATGATTAATCAAAGATTCCTGAATTAATAAAGAGTTTTCAATAGTCAATGGTGTTTAAATATTAATCATTATGGCATATTAGTCTCACAGCCTGCGGAGATCGTCGATAATACTTTGTTGTGTCAAGAGCGTGATATGAACTAGCACCTTCAGGTATCCTTAGCGCAGCTCTGAAATTGAGCCATCAGTTTATCAGGTCAACTGCTATTGAACGGTCTCATCCAATTCGAGTACTCGAAATGACATGAACGGTCTCATCCAATAACGGTACCCGAAATGACACGAGTGACGAGTAACAGGACGCGAATACGTCCAATCCTATAATTTATACTGAATTATTCTTAGGAGTATAAGATTTGAATTCTAAACCGGGCTCTTTTTGAAATCACATCATTTCTAGTACTTTTTTACTATCATGCCTAGATGGCGTTATGCCCTTTTATCAAAACTTCACTCGCGGTTTTGTTGTTGACACAGTTGCGTGTGATTTTCGTATCAACCTGTAATTACTTCTTCACAGCCAAGTTTGCATTTTATCAATCTCATTCATTAATATGCTGTTTTTTTCATACATCACAGACCTAATCTTCAAAACTAATTTAAACATTAAAGGTTATTACCGCGCGTGCTTGGTTGTTTTGGCGAAAATAAACGTAAAACTGCTAGCTTTTTTCAGTTTTTAGATCCTTTATTCAGGTCTACTAGTTTCTGTCTGGAGTAGAACTCTAGTTACGGTTTTGTGAAAGTAAATTTTAGGTATCGGTTATCAGATCAGCCTTTCATCAGTGGAATGGCCGAGAGGGCTTGCTCGCTGATATTTTCAAAAAATACGCCTTTGTGACGTTGATAACAGACTATTCGACGATTTGCATTACAGAACAATTATTATCTCGGGAAAAAGTCATTTTCTAGAAGAGTAAAATAAAACAGTTGCAAACTGCTATAAATGTTACAAAATTTAGGCCGACCGCTTGGGTGCACACAAAACTAACGCACAACCTTAAAGGAATATATAATTATATGTGATTTTCTCATGTTGTGAGATCACAACTTCGCATTTCTTTATGGTAGTAATAAATTGAGCTATAGATTTAGAAATGATATCTCGGACGTACACTGTAAACTTTTGTGCGATAAAGAGTGCACAATTTTGCCAACTTTGCTAGTTTACGCGCATTTTATAACATCATAAACTTTACAATTCCTTATTTCAGAAATATGGCGTAAATTGTGGTTTCGCGCCATTAGCACTCCGCCATTACTTCGAGAATCTCAATAATGGCCGCCTTCCAAAAGGAATGCCTGTTTCAAATGTACGAGTGCATCAGTATTGATGATAAATACGAGCACCCAGGCACCGCAATTGATTTTTTTTAAAGCTCTGTTTACACGATCCAATTATGTCCAATTCACTTCTGACGCATGTAACACGGTCTGTTATTGAAAACAACCGCACAACGGTTTCTTTGAAATTCCCTGCCTTTGCCACGCATTACGCAGAGACAAGTCAAACGGCTGCAAAACATCCGTCAAAAGTTAATTCGACACTAAATTGAATTGTCTAAATTTGAAGGTAGACCTCTAAGAATGTCTGAAAGCCTAAACGAATCGTGTGTTTTTCTAAGGCTTGTGTATGGTCAAACATTCAGGCAGAGACGCATCTCTTTTCAGTTTTTCCCCATTCCCCAGTCAAAATTTACGTCGTTAGTTGGGCTATTAGCAAATCGCAGGAAACGACTCCCGTGGACAAAATTAGATTCACACCTAAAAGGTGCGATAAACCTTACGATTTGCGTATTTCAGATTAAAATACGCCCGTAAGCTATAACGACAAGTTAGCTTTGAAACCAAATTTGTGTTCATTTTAAATACACAGACCTACAACTAAAACTGACGTCGAGTTTCATTGCACGATCTTCAGATATATCGACAATGTGCCAATAGATATGCAAGTCAACCGTTTCTGATGAGACGGTTATGAATTTTTAATTCCTCGTTACACACATATTAATTGATAGAAAAACCTGCTATTATTAACAGCTATAGTGTTTACAGTGAACAGGATGTATTGTGATCCTTTTCAAACAAGGACACTGATTTCACGTCAAAACGACGGTATACACACTCGTTATATCACAGCATCAGGCGAACACAAATAAATAGATCGGCTATA